AATAGTGATTGTGAGGATTCTAGTTAAGTCTGGCAAGGAAGTATTAATGATACAGGTGGGAGGAACTGGGCTTGTGACCATTGCTATACTTTTTTGGACTGGAATCATTAAAATGCACTATTCTGGCCTGGTGCAGTGGCTTGCACTTCTAATTTCAGCACTTTGGGAAGCCAAGATGAGGACTGTTTGAGGCCAGGAGTTTGAGACCAGCCTGAGCAACATAGCAAGGCTCCACCTCTGAGTCCAGGATTTTGAGGCGATGGTAGGTTATGATTGCTCCTGTGAATAGCCACAGCACTCCAGCATGGGCAACATAGCAAGATCCTTCACTGACCCAAAGTAACTAGTTAATTTTGTTTTCAGAATAATATGCAAAAAGGACGGAGGAAAGCAGCACAATCAGTAGTTTTAGCCCTTCGGACACCTTCAGGAGGAAATTTCCCATCTTGCCATAATGTAGGCAGGTTTTGCAGAGCCAACGCAGCGTCCCTTTCTAGCCTGGCTACCTTCCAACAACAATTTTTTTGGGCCCTTTTGCAAATCATTCCCTACATCAGTCCCCAGTGCGGCCTCCACCCTCTGGCTCCTGGATTTGTGCCCAAGGCTCTACAGTCAACTCATTCTCCACCTCACCGTCCCCACTGCGCTGTGACTCAGTTCCCTTGCACCGTAAAACCTCTGCCCGGCGTGGCAGAATGGACCCAGCACTTCCTCAAATGTTCACATTTCTCTTGAATTCCTGGCCTCTAGTGATTGTCCTACTTCAGCCTCCCAAAGCATTGGGATTACAGGCAGAATCCACTGTGCCCACCTTCAAATGTACACATTTCTCATTCATCCTAGGGAAATCTTCATTTGTCTCTGAGAGAAGGCTTCTGTTTTTAGGAATTTGTCACTCAGTTAGGTTTATATTGCTTTATAAAAAATATTTAAAAGATGCATAATGGATAGGATACCTGGGAACAGGAGAAGAATTGTTGCAGGCAAACATGGGAACACAAAGCCTTTGGGGTGGAGTCTGGTAAAGCTTAGATTTTTTGAAGGTGAACATACCTGAAAAGTATTCTGTTTACAGAACACAGAGAATGTTAAAATCTGTTTTAACTTTAATGTAAGGTTTGAGGTGCTCTTGAAGATATTTAAGAAGGCTGTAAGGGTTGGAGGAGGATCAATGTGGACGTACAATATTTGGATGGTTTAGAAAGGGAAGAGATTAAAGACAGGAGGACTACAAGTGCCTTTTAATATATTGCCTTCAACTGGTAACTCCTCAGTGGGTGGGTCTGAACTACAGCCAGGAATGTAGGAAAAAGAATAAGGTGTATAATTTGAGACACATTTCAGAGGCTTAGAGACTGACCTAGGAGTTAGGAAAGCATAAGCATCAGAAGTGACTTTGAAGTTGAATTATGGCTCAATGAGAAACAAATGATACCATTAACAGTCAGAAGAAAATCAGGTGTAAGGAAAAGGAGTGGAAAATAAATTTAATTTTATATAGGCAGAAGTTTTTAAAAATATAAATAAGAACGGAATAGTTTGTAATGGAGAAAAAGGAACCTGGAGAAAAGAGAAATTGGTCATATAAGGAGGAGAAGCATAGTTGATAAAACAAAGTTCTTGATAGGGCAATATTCAGATAAGAACATAGAAGGGGAATTTAATTTAGGTAGGAAGGGAAATGCAGGAGGAAAAGCAAAAAGAGTAAATAAAATGTAGAAACATTTTGAGGTAGAAAAGAGGTGACCTCAAAATGATCATTTGAGCTGGGAGGGGTGGTTCATGCCTGTAATCCCAGTGCTTTGGGAGGCTAAGGTGGGAAGATTGCTTGAACCCAAGAGTTCGAGACCAGCCTAGGCAACATGACAAGATCTTGTCTCTACAACAAATAAAATAATTAGTTGGGTGTGGTGGCATGCCTTTGTAGTCCCAGTTACTTAGGAGGCTGAGGAGGAGGGATCTTCTGAGTCTGAGAGGTTGAGATTGCGGTAAGTTCTGATCGTGCCACTGCACTTCAGCCTAGGTGACATAGTGAGATCCCAACTCAAAACAAAAAACAAAACAAACAACATCTTTGCTCTTCCCCTCTCCTTTTTTCCTACCGATGTAGCAAAGATTTTTGTTTATTAGTTCAAGTGTTATGGGTGAAAGAGTCCATTTTAGTTATATTAGAACAGTTATTGAAAAAAAAACTTAAAAACCTGTATTCTTTTGTAGCTGAGTTGGGCTAAATGTAAAAGTCTCTTGAATTCAAAAGCGTGCATTTTTCCTATCCCCTCCCCCCACCTCCTCTCTTAGCATGGCCTTGCCCACCTGCTAATCTTATCTAGTAAACCATTGTTGCTGCTGAAAAAGAAACAGCTGGCATGCCAGACAACCTAATAATTAAGAGAGCGATCCAAGTCCAGTATAAGTTTACCTGAAAGCCTAATGTGGGCATTGCCCACCTCCCTTCCATCTGTGAATATGAGGATATCAGACTCTTATAGGCTAGGGCTCTGGAAATACAAAGTGGTGATACTTATCTTTTAAAACAATTTAAAGTTTTCATTTTAAATGTTGTGACCTTCCCTTCCTTCCAAATGCTGTAAATGTCTGCCCCTTCCTGTAAAGAACATGTTGTAAACCACAGGATGTTATCTAAAATGTCCGCATGACCAGAAGACTGAATCACGTCAGTGGTCACATATCAAAAACTGTTACTATAAATCTTGAGTCATACTAAAACTGCATGTAGGCTTCAAACTTGGGGAGAGTGAAGGGCTATAAATTTGGGGTATAGATACTGGAATGAATGTGTGTTGCTTTGAGTGGGTTTTTTGGTAAGGATGCCGACCTGTCTCCCTACAGATATAGTTATAGAAATATAGTTATAGAAATTAAACTCTCCCTTTTCTCCCAGTCTCTGCCTCTCGTCTTTGACTGGTCACAAGAGATAGTAGCTGATCATTGCTCGAACCATTTCACAAGGATATGATTCCAGTTTTTGTGCTTTTTATTGCATATTTGTCCCCTCTGCTGTCTGCCTTTAACTTTGTTTATGAGTAGTGGGAGGAAGTCTGAGGCAGAGGCAATATAGCACTGGCCACATTTACAGATAGTTATGTGACTGTGTCTAGACACTAGATAATTCATTTTCCTTTGCAAGTATAAAATTGGGATAATTACTTTATAGGGTTGCTGTTAGCATCAATGAGTTGTAGATGTAAAATACCACTGGCACTTAGTAAGCATTTGACAAATGATAGTTATTATTAAAATGTTTGGATGTTTACATGGTCATATTTATTTTTCCTTTAGTCATAGGTGCTTTGATTAGGAATTACCCTAAAGTTATGTTAATATTCACTTGCATTTTCTTCTGGAAAATTCTAGAAATTCTATGGCTTTGTATTTTACATTTAAAATCTTTAGTTTACATAGGTTACAGTGTGTTGTATATTATGAACTGATTATCAGATTATATATTTCTTTCTTTATGGCAGATCAGTTTTCCCAGCACTTGTTGAACAAACCATCCTTTGGTCACATATTTGAAATGATTCTTCTATAATATACAAAATTCACACACAGATAAACTAATTCCTGAGTTTTCTCCTTTGTTTCATGAATGAGACTAATTATTCCTACATTAACTACTGCTTTGGTTTGGTTTTTTCAATTTTGACTTTATGATTTAATACCCAACTGGGAAAGTGCTGTTTTATTATTATATATTTCAAAGTTTCTAGGATATTCTTGTTTATCAATATTTTTACATGAACTTTACATTTGGCAAACAAATACTTAAATAATCCTGAATAGCAATACATAAATGATTAATCTGATGGAGAATATCTTTTACAGCATCACAGTCGCAAGCAGAAACATAGTATGTCCCTCATTCTTGCTCATAAATAAAAGTACCTCAGTTAGTTAAGCGTTAATAGCAAATATTGGCTTTTATTTTCAGAGACAGGGTCTCTCTCTGGCATCAGGCTGGAGTGTAGTGGTACAATCATAGCTCACTACAGTCTTGAACTCCTGGGCTCAGTGAATCCTCCTGCCTCAGACTCCCTAGCAGCTGGGACTACAGGTGTGTGCTGCATACATATCTGGGTGTTGCAGCACACACCTTTCTCTCTATATATATAGAGAGAGACAGACAAAGAGAGAGAGAGAGAGAGAGAGTGAGAGAGAGAGAGAGCAAGAGCTGGTCTTGAACTTCTGGACTTAAGTGATCCTCCTGCTTCAGTCTCCCAAGTGCTAGGATTACAGGCATGAGAGACCATGCTTGGCCAATTTTTGTTTATTCGGTTTATTCCTAGGTATTTCCTTTTTTTGACTCTTGTGAATGCTGTCTCTCTCTCTCTCTTTTTTTTTTTTTTCTTTTTAAAAATTGAATTGAATTGAATTTTAAAGTTGTGGGGTATAAGTCAGGATTATGATCCTTTTGACAACTTTTTTCTCACTATTGTTCCTACATAGAAATTTATTTTTTTATTAATTGCTATTGCAGCCTGCTGCCTTATTGAACTTATCTGCTGTCAAAATTTTAAGCTGATTTTACCAAATTCTTTCAAGCAATCACATTATTTGCAAATATAATTTCATCTCCTCATTTCTAATATTTCATTTTTTCATTTTACTGCTTTGGTTAGAATTTTTCAGACACTGTTTAGTGACAGCAACAATAACAGTAATCTTTATTTTTGTCTTTAATGATGATATTTCTATCTGCATCACAGCCTGTTGTGTTTTACTGTTGAGGATATTATTGTCTCTCTTCCCAATATTGTATTCCTTTTACACTTGTTTTTGAACATACTCTTTCTTATGCTATAATCAATAGAAACAAAGAACAGTGACTCACCATTTCCTTCTCCATCTTGATGATATTTTTCTCAGTGACTATCAGCTATTTCAGTCAAAAATTGCATATATCATTCTATGTCTTCCAATTGTTAATTTTAAGGGAAAAAAATTGTTTTGCTGTGTTATTGTTGTTTTCTTTTTGTTACCTTTGCAGAGGAAAGACTGATGACGTGTTGATCTTTTTCATTAGTTACGATCTCAGAGATACTGAACATGTGTCCCACAAGTTTCCCCACAGGCTTGGTGCTGATATTGGGGTGCCACAATCGGAGGACTTTATCATCGCCTGAAAAGGAGAACAGGGAAAGATTATTTTCTCAGGAGTTCCAGGTTTCAAATGTATCTCTCACTCAGTCATATCCTTATCTTTCTTCAAATTGCAAATCATAGTGTGTTTCTTCCAGGATGCATTCTGTGATTGACTTGCTAAGAGGCCAGGCTTGCTTTGGATCTGCTGCTTCAGATCAAGGCTGTTTTGTAATAACTGTATTTACTTATACAAATGTGAATTCTCATAAATGTTTTATGAGTACTTTTCTTGATTCAATACTTTCCTACTCCTTCATGCATTGATGTATTATTTATATTTTATTTACTTCCAAAAAGTATTTAGAGCAGCTGTTCTTTTGTTTTTGCATTCTTAAATTATGCAAAGATTATAATAATAAAAAAAAAATCAAGGGAAGAGGAAAACTGCACATAATATCTACCATTATAACAAATCAACTGTTTTCATTTTTTATCTTCCCTCTTAGCACATATCCAAGAGCACATATAATTTATATGTAGTTTCTATCATAGCATAGATACCATTTTTAAATTGTTAAAATTATATGGTATGGATAAAAGAGTTAAACAGTATAGAAAGCTATAATTTTTATTTTTAAAAAATCTTTTCCTATGTAATTTATAGTTCTATTTCAGGTAGTAAGTAATTGTTAACTTTTAAAGTATAAATGTATATTTAATAGACTTATCCCCACTGAAAGAGTTGGTCAGATATAAAGAAATAATTAGGTGACTTGTAGTTGGGTATTTATAAGCAACACAACTGTGATCGACACTGATGCTTCCACAGTTCTATGATTATTTTGTTGAGTCCCATGAAAAAAGAGCATAGTATTTTCTCTTCCCATTTTTAAACTTTCCTTTGTGCATCCCAATTCATTCTTCAAGTCTCAACATAGCTATTCCTTCAAGAATATTCCAGAATACCTTGATATTCTCCAAAACTGAGTTCTCTGTCTATGTGCCTCCTGCAACCCCATCATCTCTTATAATTAATTATTTATATGTCACACCATCTATTAGACTCTAAGCACCTGGAGGGCAGAGCCTTTTTTTGTCTACTGTCATAGCACTAGTATGTAGCCTATAGTAAAAGTTAAACAAATATTTATTGAACAACTTCAATAACTTCAGTTTTGAAATGATGAATCATAGCTCAGTGGTTTAACCATCAAGTGCTAAAAGAAGGGGAAACGTGTCCAAACAAAGAATGAATCCTTGATGAATCTTTGTTGCATGTTCATCTAACTCCTTGGGAAGGTCATTTGTTCACTGCAGAGGCCCTCGTACCTTGGAGTGTTATTAGCAGAAGGCTGAAAAAAACTCATGACACAGTTGATTCTTGGTTTCCATTTCTCAAGCAATCGCTATGGACTGAATTCATTCTCTCCCAAATTCATATATTGAAGTGCTAACACTCAACGTGATAGTGTTTGGAGATGGAGCCTTTGGGAGATAATCAGGTTCAGATGAGGTCATAAGGGTGGGCCTTCATGCTGGAATTAGTGCTCTTATAACACCAAATTTTGCTCTTCCCGTCCCCAGTCATGTGAGAACACAGCGAGAAGGCTGTCTACAAACCAGGAAGAGAGCCCTCTCCAGAAACTGACCATGCTGGCATCTTGATCTTGAACTTCTAGCCTCCAAAAATGTAAGAAAATAAATTTCTGTTGTTGAAGCCACTCAAATTTTTTATGTCAGCTCTAGCTAAAGAAGATATCAACCAAGATATTTTAAGGACTGTGATTGATGAGTAAGTGGAATCATTTCTTAAAAAATTTAAAACTTCCATGCTACGCTTATTAAAAACAAGAACAAAAATTTCTTAAGAAGTTACTGCACATGTAGCAGTATGCTAGATGCTAAGGATACAAAGAAATTCTAGATATCATTCCTGTCTAGTCTACTTTGTCAGAAGACCAAAATGTACACCCTTTTAGACTTAGTTCCAACATCATTCTCCTCATTGCCTTCTCTAATCTTCTTCCCTGGTCCTAGGTAGAATTAAGACTGCTTCTTCTGTGTTCTTATTTGTTTTCTTCAGAATTTTTCATAGCTGTAATCTTATTCAGTTACAGTTGTCTGCTTGCATATCTATTTATTCATTATCTAGTGAGCCTTATATTTCCCGATTAAGTTTTTTTCCCATATCGATACATTCAGCTTGGAGAACCTTCTATTTCTCATTCATGATAGTATTTGGTAAATAATAAATGCTCAATGTATGCTTGCTAAGTAAATGAGTAAATCACTCATGAAATAGTTAAGCATACATATTTTGAGCAAGTCTACTTTTGATTTGAAACCTGGTTCTATCTTAACTAGCTTTGTGAACTTGAGTAAGTTGTCTCAATTCTGTGTCTGTTTCCTTATCTATAAAATTGGGATATAGGGAACTTGTCATGGTTTTATTGTGTGAAACCATAAATCGACAATATTACTACTATTATTATTTGAAGTCTCTGCCATTTGCAACGCATTTAGAGATTGTTTAGGGGAGAGGGAGAGGAACTGATACACAGATATATGAAACATGATCCTTGCTCTTGAGAGTTTATAACCAAGTAGTAACAATAATGCAAGCAGATGTAGAGGGAAACAACTCTTCATAAAGACTATGACAGATCTGAAGATATAATTTTATTATGGTTCATAAGGAGTTAATTTCCTGTTTCTTTGTTATTTCTTTTTTTTTTCTAAGCCAGGATTTATATAAAGTCACACATCAAAGATAGGATTTTCTTTCCTTTAGCAAACTTCTCTCAGTTGGTGAGTCACTTCATCTAAGTGCAATCCTCTGGATGCAGTGTGCTGGCTCAGTTCACAGAGGAAAGCAGGAGAGAGCTCTAGTGAACCAGATTGCTGTGTGGCCCAGGAAGAAGAGTGCAGGGCTGGGTGGGAGCAAAGAGAACTGACTCAGTCTCAACTCTGCCAGCTAACTAGTTGTGCAACTTGTGGCAAATTGTTTTTTCTAGGGCCCTGATTTCTACATGTAAAATTATAATCTTCAAGGTTCCTCCCAACTCTCAAGTTTTATTGTGTACTGAAGGGAGAGATTACTGCAGTGAGAAGGCAAGCTGGAATTTTTATTGGTAATGAGAAACTCCCTAGGTTTTCAGATTCGTGACTCAAACTGAATAATTTGGATAATGCAGTATCTTGCCTGCATTTGCTTTTCATTGGTAATGGCCAAAAAGTATAAAGTTACTCAGAAAAAGTGTTTAGAACCTAAGCCCCCCATGCCCACAAATGGCCCTATATCATGTAGATGGGCCATCCCCTGAAATGGCATTCTCATTCCTGGAAGATGAGGCTAGGTTACCCCCCCCAGAATAAAATTTGTAACTTGTATATCACAAGAAGAAGGCTGCAGTAGAGGACTCTTAACTAAGGGCTTTGTCCAGCATGCTTTGTAAAGAAAACCCAATCTTCTAGAGGTTACCAATTACCTACTACCAGAAGGCCTCCAGCTCTGCTTAACTTTCACTGATAGGAATGGAATACTTAACTAGTTTATGTGGTGGCTTTTTGAAGCCAGAATGAGCAAAAAGAGACCAAATACTAAGCTCTCAATTCTTACGGCATTTCATTTGTATCATCATTATCATCATATGTTGACTCACGTTCTACACTTTGTATTATAGTTATCTACAGACCTGTCTTATTTGTACTATAAGACTTTACATTACTGAAAGTTAGGAATACAACCTGATCTTTATAAAGTTGATGGTGGCTAATCTATAGCAATTGTGTAAAAAATATTTGTTGAATAAAACATACAAAAAAAAAAAGAATACAGAGCCCCCGAGGTATCTTGGATGGTAGATAATTGTGTGTATGCATTGCTCCTTCCAAACTAGGGGTTTAATTCACAAAATGGCTAGTGGAAACGCTATTGGTTAAAAAAAAATTTTGTTGAGGGTCACCAAAGTAACACTCAGGAAATTTGCATTTCTTTTCTTTTTTAAAAAGTATCCTGTCCTGGTTTGGCTTTTTTTTTTTTTTTTGGTCGGCAAGAGCTTCTGGTTTTTCAAGCTCATCAAATATACACATTTAACACATTCAACTATGCCTAGCAAAGCGGCTTTCATTGTATATTTTGAGTTGTCAGCTGGTACATGCTGTACATTTAGCAATGCGCTTGGCTGAGTCACTAATCAACAAGAGTATTCTCCTGAGACAAATGTGCTTTCAGTTATTGAGGATTTGCATTTTTTAATAGAGGCTCCATAACTGTGACAATTCAATAAATTATGCATGGTGAAAAGTATTATTTGCTTGTCGGTCATACTGCTAAATGTGTTCTTCCCTCTGTGAGACAGCTAGATAACCTCTAATTAGTAAGTTTTCAAAGCTGTAGATAAGGGTCTTATAATGAATACCATGGCTAATGAGAGTCAAATACTTTAATCCAGAAACACCGAAGTGGTTTAAGTCCCAGAATTTTACTAAACACAGTTTTATTTCTAAAAGTGATGAAAATACTAAAATTACAAAGTATATGAAAACCAGTCAATTCTTAATATTTTGCATTCTTTTTTGTGAGAACAACAGCAAAAAACTTGTGTGAGTGTATGTGTGTCCATAGGAGTTGGTTAATGTGGCAATATACCATGACAATCAGATTTAGAATCAAATCTTTAGCCATGTATTTAAGTACTACTTTTTCAAAGGGTTTGTAAGTTTGCATCAAAGCAGGAGAGAAGGCTAATGTTTTTACCGAATCAAAGATATGCACTGGCGGTGGCAGTATCCATTGCAGTTTGAGTCTCAAGCATGTTTCCTGCTTTATCTCTCACACCATTAGGCTCTCCCTTCTTCATCTCCTGGAGCTTCCTTCTGACATGATCCAGACGAGGAAATGTGCCCATTTCCACCGGAAGTGATACACCAAGGTGGCCATCAAGTCAGGAAGGGACAACGGGAATCAAGAAATCGTGATGCAAGTATCCCACTTCTTTTTCTGAAAACATTTACTTCTAGCATTTGTTCTATGTGTTTTCTAGACCTCAGTATGGCGATCTTTAAGTGATAACCATAATTAGTATAGTCGAGAGACTTAGATTCTTGTTTGTTCTTAGAATCCTCACTACCAAGTATGAGGAAACTCGCTCCCCATCCAAACCACGACTCCCACACACTTCTTTATAGGCTCCTTATCCATATGCCTTCCTTTCTTTTCTTGATGTCCTCAATTGAGTTTTAGAAGTTCGTGGACAACTAATGCTTTGACTTTTCTGAATACACAGACTATAACTGTGTATTGAGTAGTAGCTAATTGTCAAACTGGGTTCCAAATTTTCCAAAGGACATTTTTAGTTTATCTGCCCATGAACACGTAATTCTTTTGGAATCACAGTATTTTAAGTTCAGAGGGATCTTGGAATGTATGTAGTTCGACTTCCTTGTTTTTACCAGATAAGGAAAATGAGCAACAGGGAAAGATTAATTGATTGTTGAAAGTCATACAGTCGATGATTGGTCAGGCTATGACTAAACCCAGTTCTTTTAATTTCTAGTGCATTGTTTTTATTTGTTGTGCTTGTGACTACTATATTACTTTTGCAATAATGTTAGAACATGAGCTAATTTCAAGTACATGCTGTGGAAGGGACAAAGCTGAGCTCAGATTTAAATATAAATTTTGAATGCACAACGTACTTGAAAAGAATTAATTTTATGCCCTCAGGGGAGATTATCCAGTCATGAAGTAGGAACCCAGCTGTCTTTATACTTAGCAATGTAGGCACTTCAAGATGAGACAGGATACTCTAGCTGGGAAGCCAAACGTTGCCTGCTGTGTGTGTTTAGAGGTAAGACATTTGAAAAAAAAAATCTTTTATGAAAGGAACCAGTAGCACTTACTCATTAACATCTTGGCTCCTTTAATGAATATTTTTGCTCAAAATTTTTTGATAAGAGTTTTCTCCATTTTAAAAATCTTTTCTGTTCCTTCCCCTTTTTAAAGTTAGGGTTTCCAATATAGGTCACCACCTTGATGTTTGTGTTTCTGTTTTGCTCATTTAAGCTGCAAGTCTACATGCCTTCTGTCTCTTGTAAGGGGATCTTGCTCTCCCTGAAGAACCTTCAGGAGCTCATGTTCTGTTCCATCCAGGCAGCCTGAAAGTCCTACTATTACTCATCTCCAACCAGGCCTCTTCCTATCACCAAAAAGAATATCCTTTTGGATATCTAATCAATACTTGACATTTACATTCAAAATTGAGCTTTTATTTTTTCTCCTTCCCCCAGGGAAGCACCCTCTTCCTAGTTTCTGTATAACTGTCAACTTAATTACTATTCTTCCATTTCTCCAGTCTTGCAAATTTAGAGCTGGTTGACTTCTCTTATTAATAATCCCTAATACCATTGTCTCCAAGGCTGATAAATAATGCATTTCCCATATCTTTGAGACTAGCTCTTTCTTTTCATTCTCCATAGCACTTAAAATAATAATTCAGACCCTCTTCATCTCACTCTTGTTTTCTGTAACAGCCACCTAACTGGAATCTCAGGCTTCATGTTACTCCAACAAAACTTCCACATAACTACCAAAGTGAAATCTGCCTATATGTTTAAATAGATTAAATTAATATTGATTGGGAATCTACTATATGCCAAGCCTACGTTATCTCAGTCAACCTTAAACACCACCATATAAATTAGTGTTTTTTTGTTAATGGAGGGGGGATATGCAAAAAAGCCTGAATTTATTTATAAAAAATTGTGTATCTATTCTTACATGTTTAAATTTCAGTCACCTTCAAAATAGCCTCTGTTTGATGCAATATACCTATCGAGTATATTGATTTTTCTGCTGCTCAAAATAGTTTTTGAACTCATCAAGTTTGATGCCTTTTTGGGCTTCTGCCATTTTTTTTTTTTTTTTTAACCTCTTCCGCATCAGCAAAACTTTATTTTTTTTTAGAACTTTTTTTTATCTGGGGAAACAAAAGTCACTTGGGATAAGACCTGGCGAATAGGGAGAGTAGAGCATGAGGATCCTGCTGTTTTTTTATCAAAAACTACTGAACACTCAGTGTGGTGTGGGCAAGTGCAACGGTAAATCACCCATTGTGAAACAGGCAAACACATTGAAAGAATCTCCAAAAAAAATTTTCACTGAAGCTGAACACAACCTCTCACACCAACACTAACTGTTACACAACTGCTGATGGGTTCCTGAAACACTTACCTAGTAGGGGAAGCCTGTACTACAAAGGGTCTGCCCTCCAAAATTAATTCCACTTTTTTGGGGATCCCCTTCATATTATTATTAGTAGTATTATTAGCAAAGTTGTATTGAGAACTTACTATGTGCAAGGGACTGTGCTAAGTACTTTATTTGATTTAGTTTAATTTTTACATTAACCTTATGGGTAGGTACTGTTATCAACTCCAATTACAGATGAGATTGAAACTTAGAATGTAAATAGCCTGCCTACCACAAAGCTCACAAGTGAGAGAGCCAGGATTTGTACCTAAGCAGTCTAACTCCAGAGCCCAGGTTCAAAGTCATAACACTATAAATGTTATAATTTAGAAGTCTAAGTCTTAAAGATGGTTTCAGTCTTCCACCTTGCCTCTAAAATTTCTTCATTTGTCATCATTCTCTTTACCCTTAGCTAACTTTGTTTCCTATCTTCTTTCTTGCTTATTTCTTAAATTTTGATATGCTTCCAGGTTCTATCCTTGGCTCTCTTTTCTGTTAGCTCTAAACACATTGGCTCTTGACCTTTTTGGTCATGGTCTCCTTTTGAGGATTTGATAAAATTGTTGACTTTCTATTAAGAAAAAGGCACGTAGACACACAAGTGTCATTCTGCTTTGTGGACTCCAGGACTCCCTTAAAGCCTAGGAACATATAAAACTAAATTCTAGGCTGATTAAACCCCTAAATGTAAAATGTGAAACAAAACACTAAAAACTAATTCTAATGAAATACAACAAAATTTGTTTCGCACATTCTAGGCTAAGGAATGTTTTTCTAAGTATGCCATCTAATCCAAAGGCAAGGAAGAAAAAGACAGATTGAACTTTATACAAACTTTTAAATTCTCTAATAGATTTTTTTCCAGCAGTAAAAATCAAGGAGAGCACTGTTTGCAAAGCAGAAAATTTCTGTGTAACATGAACCAACCTCTTACCTCCAGTGACAATCACATTTGCTTTAATACAATAGCAAAAGGTATTTGCTCCTCTCGGCATGGAAAACTCTCTGACAGGCCTGGGAAAGAAAAATTACACATAAAATGTATATGTTTTTCTTTATAAAGCAAATTCCAACTTTTAAATAGATTATGTTGAATAGGCCCATTTCTAAATTGGGTGTAAATCCATTTGCACACATAAGTAATAATTCAGTTCTCACTAATCCACAGAATCTGCTTACTCCATAATGGGGTGATAGTCACAGAGCACTCTATATCATTCCTGTTGAAAAAGAAATCCAAACTGGGTTCAGTGGCTCAACCTGTAATCCCGCACCTTGGGAGGCTGAGGTGAGTGGATTGACTGAGCCCGCGGGTTCGAGACCCGCCTGGGCAACTTGGCGAGACCTCATCTCTACAATAAATCAAAAAATCAACCGGGCGTGGTAGCGCGTGCCTGTAATTCTGGCTACTCGGAAGGCTGAGGCGGAAGGATCACCAGAGACCGGCAGGTCGAGGCTGCGGTGGCGGGGAGCAACCACTGCACTCCAGTCTGGATGACAGAGTGAGACTCCAAGTCAAAACAAAAGAAAAAGAAATCCAGTCCTCCTTACTGGGTCTATGGTTTTGCTGGTAGTGAGGCCGGGCAGAGCTATGTTAGGTCTTAGTGCACAACAAACATTGGGTGGCTAGGTGAATTTGTTGGTAGCATGTAATGCCAGGAACCCATTTGGACATTTCCTCCTCTCTCACCACTCACTTCCAACCTGCTGATAAGGCCTGCAGTTTTATCACTAAAATACCCCTGAAATCTGACCACTTCTTCCCATTGCCATTGCACTACCTCAATAAACTGCTGGTTTCCCAGCTTCCAATGTGGCTCATTCCTCTTTCCTCATTTCCAACCTGAATCCTGTTGCTATGATACAGTCAGAGTGATCTTCGTGAGATATGAAAGAGGTCATATCACTTCTCCCCAGTGGCTTCCAGACACTCTAAGAAGAGTCACCTGACTCATCTGACCCTGAAGTGATTCTTGTCACCGTTCCAGGCTCACCCCACACCCTCCTCTTCCCCAAGTGCTAAGATCCAACCACACTATTCTCATCGCCCTCCTTTCTGTACACACTGAGCTCTCTCTCACAAGAGCTTTTGGACAGGACAAAGATATTCTTCTCCCAGACCACAGCCACACTAACAGCCATCATTTTTTAGGTGTCATCATAAATGTAACTTTCTTAGAAAGGCTTGGATACCACCCTCCCAGTCCTACCAACTAAACTGTTTTTGTGCTATTTTTTCTCCTAGTACCATACAATTTTCCCTCAACGAATGTAGTAGCTACCATATAATTTTAGTATGTATTTTTGGGCTGTTAATATCTGTGAGTAAAATTGTGCCATGCTTAAAAGAGCTTGGGCTTGAATGAAGATGAGTGGGCTTCAATCCTGGCTCCATCACTGTACCTCGATTTTCTTATTTATTAGGTGGCTTAATAATATCTACCTCAGAGACTAACAATAGTTGAAAGCTGTTATTGCCTCTGACCAAATGGGATAATGGGAGGAAACAAGGTTAATGTGAAAGAGGGGCTGCCCAGAAGGAGCTTATACAAGGAGCTCTGGAAGGGAAAGGAATGATCTGACCTTGTCTACTCTTTCTCACTCTTTCTCTCTCTCTCTCTCTCTCTGTGTTCTTTTTTTCTTTTGGGTTGAGGTCTCACTCTGTTGCTCAGGCTGGAGTGTAGTGGCACGATAATGGTTCACCACAGCCTCCAACTCCTGGGTTCAGGCAACCCCTCCCTCAGCCTCAGCCCCTTAGGTAACTGGGACTTCATGTATGTGCCACACACCTGGCTAAATTTTTTATTTTTCCAGAGACAAGCTCTCGCTCAGGCTGGTCTTGAACGCCTGAGCTCAAGCAATCCTCCTGCCTCAGCCTCTCAAAGCACGGGGATTCAGGTGTGAACCACTATGCTTGATTTAAAAAAAAAAAGATAGTATATACTATTATGTTCTTTGTTTTTTCACTTAATAATATATCTTGAAGATGTGTCTAAGCCAGTATATAAAAATCTTTCTTATTCTTTTTTATTGTCTGACTTAACTACCATTTATTTAATTTCTGCCCGCCTAACTGAAATCATTTGTGATTATAAATAATACTACAATAAACAGCCTTTCTTGTGAAAGTGACATTTTGTATATATAAGTATTCCTATAGGACACATTTCTAGAAATACTATTGCAAATCAAAGGGTATATGTATTTATAAATTTGAAAGATATTGTAGTTCCTTTCGTTCTTTTTACCCACTGGACTTCTTTAAATGCATCTCTTCATAAAAACTAGGTCTTACAAAGTCTAACTTTAATGCAGTTTGTATTTTGGGGTCAACTTTGAGATATTGAACCTAAGGGACAATCACCAGAAACAGCTTGGACTGCAATTATCATCCCAGATTTCAGGCAAGAATGAATTTTCACCAAATTGCCCACTTTTATAAGTGTACTTATAAAAGAAATGGACATGGATTTTTAAAAAGTCCATAGATTTCTGAAACACAGTCACAAAGTCAATGAGAGAGCATGGCAATGAAGTCTCAATTGCAACCTTTAGGAGGATGTAGATTTATGATTTTATTGAAAAATATCTTCGCTGTTGTCAGAAAAATTGTGAAAAAAAAGTTGCTTCAACTAAACTCAAGTATCACAAATGAAAGAGTTCCAGATTCAGCAGTTCAGGCATTTCTATAAAAGTCTCTACTGAAGACCATGGACCATTTGTAGCTTTTCCAATTAAGTCACTTTATTCTTCCTTACATCTAAGGTAAATAGTATTCCTTAGACCCCTGTTTATTAATAGAACTTTATCAATGTCTTAACTTTACTTAAGTCACAAATTCTCAAGGTCTTAAAGCCATGATTCCAAAAGTTGGTTGTGCATCAGAATCACTTTGAATGTGAAAAAAGAAATTTCCGGTCTTCAACCCTAACTTGATGAATCAGAATCTCTAAGCGTGGGCACAGAAATGCATATTAAAATTTTTCCCAAAATATTTTCTTGTGCATACCACGATAACATTTATTTGTAAATTATGTAATATATTATTGAATTAATGTCTATACATCATAAAACAGATAATAAAATAATGAGATAAAAATTTAGAAGACAATTTCTAGAGTTTTCTACCCACATTGTGATGGATCATCTTGGGGTATATTCACCCTGCTTTGCACCATATGGGTTGGCTCCTGATACAGTTTCAAGAAAGAATGTGAGAGCTCTTTTTAGTTCTTTTGATGGTGGTACCAGTAGGAGGAAGAGGCGAGATGGGAAGATTTCTGTAGGGTCCTGCCATAAAGTGAGTGGAGCATGACAGGACAAACTGGTGAATTAGACTTAGAATGCAACAACTCAAGGTTAGGAGACCTAGATTCTATTTGTGTTCTGTTACTAAATATGCAATTTAGAAAAGTCACTTCATCTTATTGAGCTACAGTTTCCCCACTTATGAAATCAAGGATTGGATATGACCTACATAGCTTCCACCATTCTTAAAATCTTAGATTTTATTCTTCCTCCATAGCTGTGGTTGGATAGGAGTCAAGCAAGGCCATTGCACAGCCTTGATGGATGGTGTCCCAGAGCTGTGGCGTGCACAACCAATTGCAATGACCCCTGATTGGGGTAGAGGGAGATGAATAAGGACTATCATAATTCACTGCACATTCTGAGCAGTTATGTACCCAGGCTTGGAGGGGAAGTAAAATCAAAGCAGGCTGGTGGGTTGTGAGAGAAAGAGATATGGATTAATAGAATCTTTGAAGTCTGTTGACTATAAAACTTTTTTACTGCAAAGACTTAGGGTGAGTATATGTTTGAAAAGTGGTTTTCCTTTATCTAAGATTGCTAAAAAAAAATTAGTTTCCCACATAAACAAACATCTAGGGCTCAGGAAAGAAATAGGGAGAGAGGACAATGGGTTCTGGGTATATTCCAAAAGGGAAACATACAAGGTAGGGAAAGTTGCCAGTGGCAGCAAATCCTGTGAAAGAAGGGGAGTTTTTAAGGCATATTCAGTAGGTTCTCAGTCAGTTGACATTTACTGAGCACCTACTGTATGCCCAACAGTGCTTTAGGGGAGATATATATATATATATCGGTGAATTAAAATAGCAGAGGTGAGAATGTGCATTAGTTAAGGGTGACAAGCTCAAATGTCTATAGTAGCCAGGCAGGTAAACTAGATGGGTGAGGTGTGTTGGGTGCTTAAAAAAAATAAGGGGTCATGCCAAATTTTGCCAAGTAAAAGACCATTTTGCAGGTTGCATTTCACTCATGGGCTCCAGTTTTCAGGAATAGCTCTCAGATTTTTAAAATATGTAATACAAAAAAAATTAATAATGTAAATAACGTTCCTAACCAATTAGGGAAAACAACCACAGGGAAAAATTCTATTTTAAAAATTTTGATCAAAAGTACTGCAAAGTAACCAAATTCATCACTAAGTAGGAAGTTTTACTAAATAGAGGAATAGATATTATTTCTCTCTCTCTTTTTTTTTTTTTTGAGTCAGATTCTCACTCTGGGAGTACAGTGGCATACTCTTGGCCACCCCAGTGTCGACCTACTGGGCTCAGGCAATCCTTCTGCCTCAGTCTTCCAAGTAGCAAGAACTATAGGTGAGTGCTACCACGTCTGGCTACCTTTTTTTTTTTTTGAGTTGGAGTCTCACTCGGTCATCCAGACTGGAGTGCAGTGGCCGCTCCCGGCCACCGCAGCCTCGACCTGCTGGGCTCCGGCGATCCTTCCGCCTCAGTCTTCCAAGTAGCAAGAACTACAGGCGTGCACTACCACACCCAGCTAATTTTTGATTTATTGTAGAGATGAGGTCTTGCTGCCCAGGCGGGTCTCAAACCCGCGGGCTCAGGCAATCCACTCACCTCAGCCTCCCAAAGGCGCGGGATTACAGGCTGAGCCACCGAGCCCGGGTTACTTTTTTTTTATATATTGTAATTCTCACCAAATTGCCCAGGTTGGTCTCGAACCCCTAGGCTTAGGCAATCCACTTGCCT